TCATGCCCAAGAAGGCCAAGAAGGAGAAGAAGGCAATGAAAGTGATGAAGGTGAAGAAGGCTGTGAAGGCCATGAAGGTGAAGAAGGCTGTGAAGGCCATGAAAGCCATGAAGGCGAAGAAGGGTGCCCAGACCCATGCCAAAAAGGCCAAGATGCAGGAGAAGGAGCAGAAGGAGCAGAAGGAGCAGAAAAAGCAGACGGCCAGCTGGATGACACCTTTGTTGCAGAATGCTTCTAAGAGGTCAAGGAGTCATGCCTCAAGTGCATCAAGCTCCCCTTCATGGCTGAACCCAGCTTGTGAGGCCACGAAGGTGCAGCCCAAGGCGAAAGTGCCAGCCCAGATGGCATGGATGCAGCCATCCATTTCTTAGAGGGCAAGCTTTTGATTGCGATTGGTCAAAATGAGCTTGTCAGCTTGATTACCTGGTCTGTGCTAGCCAGCCAGCCAACCAGTGTCTGGAATTCAAGACAGTGTTTCCCTTTCCAAACAAGGTGTTTTTCAGAAAGAGCTGCATGTATTTTTTGGTGCACAGTTCAAAAGGCCAATGGTGTTATGAACATTGCCATCATGTAATGAAGCAATAAGTATTAATAATTCTACCAGGGTTATTGGTTTTGCTTCATTACACAGGCAATGTTCATAATTTCATATATAGCAGTCATTGGTCTTTTGCACCTGTTGCACCAAACAAGATGTAGTAGACTGCATTGCAGTGTTGCATCACCCTTGTCCATGCCAGGCACAGTGGCAGCATGAGCACTGGCACTGTGATGATTGAGGCAACCTCGAATGCACAGGCCTGGTGTGAAATTGCCCTCATGCTGAACATGTGGAGTTCCCATGTTTTTTGAGGTGTCCTACTGAAGCATGCCGATGTTGGCCCCAACCCTAAAATATTTTTGCTTGGTGGTTCTTGCTATGCCTCATGGTGGCGTTTTTCCCACGCAGTGATGTCACAAAACACTTCTTCCTTGTTGAATTTCAAAGTCAAGAGCTTCATCATTGATGCAGTCTTAAATCAAATGTGCGTGACGCAGTGCCCTCTAAAACCACTCCTGAGCAAGTGGACATATGCTGGGATTGAATGATCTATTTCCCTTGCAAACTATTGTGTCCTCAAGATTTACTCAAACAACTCCCCACTTGCTCTTCCCACAGCCAACAATACAAGCAGACCTGATGCTTAACTTAGGCTTTTTCTGCATCCCTCCCTCCCTGAGGCCTGAGATGAAGGGCATCAAGCCTGGTGGAGGGCATACTGCAGGATCACCCGCATTTTTGAAGGGAGCCAAACCGATTGAAGACCCTGTTGAAGACCATTGTTTGACCAAGGGTTGATCTCAGAACCTGTGTTGCATCATGCTTCAAGTCATTGAGCCAAAACACAAATTGGCGGGCCTCTCCCAAATTGGCTTGGTTGTGCCAATTGTCAAAGTGCAACACAGTACATTAAGGGGTGCCCAGTGCATTGTCTTAGTGGGTTGGTTGGGCTGGTGGGCTATAAGTTTAAAGCCATTGTCATGTTGTTGCCTAGGTGGATGTTGGAGGGCTCAGCTGGTGTTGCAAGGCAAATTATGCTTCCACAATGGAGTCAGTGACTTTGGCTCCTGGGTAACTCTATAGTTTTTTTCGTTTTGGTGTCCAGGCTCTCCTGGCCCATGATCCTAGTAGCCAGCAAACACATGTCAATGTTAATCAAATTTAATCTTGGCTGGAGTGGTTCACAATTTGCAACCTTGTTCCAACCCAGCCCTTCCATCCCCACTACCCGAGCTATGGCCCAGCCTGGATGACTGACTGCTTCGCTGAGGTCCGCTTCGCTGAGGTGAGCCAACGTGCAAATTGGGTGGCCAGCCATAATTCAACATGGCAAATCTGCAGGGTGATTTGGAAAGTTTGATGCTCATCGCCTCCTTGGTTCAAAGGTATTTTTCCTATGCTTGCATAACCACCAGTGATGAAATGCAGACTGTGCCCTGAACATTTGCAAGTCACCCTTCCAGTTTGTCCATGTTGAGCACGAACAACTGTTGCACCAATTTTAGATGATTATACTGGCTCCACTCCAATATTCGAAAGCACCTGGCCCAGTAGCCTGGCTAAGGCATCACTCTGAGTGGGCAAACTACTAGGGAGTCCATCACCAGAGTAGATGATGGTGGGTCAAGTCCACCGCTCCATTATAGCCAGCATCCCCAGCACCACCAGTTCCTTTCAACTTTGCATCTTGCATTTTCAGGAACAGTGCTAATCTTGAATTTCTGCCAAATTAGAATCCTTTGCACTTGTGCCAGTGGCCTGCCAAGGCACTGCTTCTGGATCGTCAGTCCCAGTGGCTGCTGATGAACCAGCCAGCAAGTGTGCTCGACTCTAATTTGTTTTTCAGAATTGCACAAAATAGTATTAATATTACCTATTGTCAAAGGATATGTAATGCAAGCCAGATCAACAGGCTCAACCTGTCACTGCTGAGTTGACATGCTTGGGCCTGGTTTGGTAGGCTAGGGCACATGAAATTTGTCCTGGTGATGGCTTGAAGATTTGAACATCATGCATCTAGTGATTAGTCCTATAGTGACAACTTGAAGAGTTGCATCATGCATTTAGTGCTTATAAGGCATCACCTGACACAGATCACACACAGCAATATGTGCTATCCTGACTTCAAGCAAATACAGGGAAGTAAATAGACACTCCCAAACAAATTCTTCAAATTTTGAAACTATCAGTATCTAAAACCAAACTATCAGATTCCATGGCTATAGGTTCTTAGGGCTCAACGGGCCACACGGGCTCAACAGGCCCAACCGGTCCCAGGTACGGGCAACAGCAACGCGCCCAACAAGCCCAACAGGTCCAATGGGCCCGGCCTACGCTGTTGAAACCAACTTTGCGAGAAGCGCCCGTGCTGGCGCAACCGAACATAAACACGCTCACGACGCTCAATCGCGCCCACAGTTGCTGAGCTTGTTTTGGAGCAAACGATGATCGCTTAGATACTATGTTCCATGTGGATGGTTTGCTCTTTTGGAGTTAAGGTGGGAAAATTTTGTTTTTGATAGAGAAATTGCAATATGTTGTTTGCGAAAGCTTAATAAGCGGTGTGGGCATGTGTGGTCTCGGGAGGGTTGGCGCTGCCGTTGTTTTGTGATTCGGGGTTGGAAATTGTCATTTGTTAGGCTGAAATTGTATGATGTGTCTTGCTTTGCAAAAGCCTTCAGTTTCTTGAAACTGAAGAAGCTGAAGGCTTGCAACGTCAAAGGCTTACAGCAAGCATCGAAGGCTTACAGCAAGGACAGGGCAGCCGAAAAAATAGGCCTAAGACCACAAACCCCGGCACTTGCGCTGCCCATAGTCCACATACTACGCATGGGACAAAAACGATTACAATGTTATCCACCAGCTGCGTGTTCCCGGCAGCTCTGACGGCGCTTCTTTCTGCTGCGCCGCCTCTGGCTCAGACCTTGAAAGCAGAACAGTCTCGGTCATCCGCAACCGCAACCGCAAACCCTAATAGGCGGCTGCGCCAACACTGCCGCAAACGATGATCAATACGCAAACGAGCTTTCACAACCAGTGCGCCTATGCTGGCGCAAATGGACATAGACACGGGCGCGCTCGCAACCGCTGCGTCCTTGCCGGCACAACTTTCAAAACCACGCTTACGCGCGTCCACAACCGCTGCGCCCGAACAGGCGCGAATTATAAGAAACACGCTCGCGCTCATCAACCCTGCACCCAAGCTAGCGCAGATGATAAGAAACACGTCCACGCACGCCCGCAGCCGCTGCACCCATGTCGGCGCCCGTGAGAAACAACTTGCTGACAACATCCGCTGCTGCTGCGTCGGCGCAAGCGATCACAAGCACGCTCGCACGCACCCACAATCGCTGAACACATGCGGGCGCGAAAGACAAAGAAGCAAGCTTCTGCGCTCGTGCAAACGCTGGGCACGCAGTGGCGCAAACGATGTTAGACAGACACGCTTACGCACGTCCACAGCCGCGGCGCCCATGTTGGCGCGCGTGAGAATACGCTTGCTGACGCGCGTGCGTCCACAACTGCTCCTTCCGCGCCGGCGCGACTGATAATCAGCACGCCCGCGCGCAACGGCAACCGCAGAACCACCGCTGGCCAGATGGCAATACGCAGGCTCACGCGCGTCAACAACCGCTGCGCTCGCGCTGCGCTCACGCTGGCGCGCAGGACAACACACACCCTCGCGTTCCTCAACAACCGCTGCGCCCGCGCTGGCCCAAACGATCGGCGCTCGTTCTCGGGCAAATGATGATAGACACGCTAGTAAGCGTTCGGCACGCGTGGGAATGCACCGCTGCGCCCTGGCGACAATCTGCGTACAAAGACTTGAGAGTCTGGGGTTAGCAAGGTGTTGCCACAATCCACACGTGGAGATGCCCCCTTGGGCCAGCTGACAATTTCGTCACCAGTGTTCAGAAACTGGCGACTTAGGCGGAAATGTAGCGGATCTTGCAAACGCAAAACATGCCAAAATTTTGGCTGGGAAGTTGCTCTCAGCCGGCCGTACCTGCAAGCTTCCAAACGCAAACAAGCCGGTTGCTTTTGTAGCGACGTTCGCGCAGCAATCCTGAGGCTGCGCTTTCCTCTGACCAATTCTAGTCGCTAGTCTGCGCGCGTTCAAAACACTCGTGGGAAAAGGGCTCTCGAAAGCTGTCGCGGAGCTTTCGCTGAGGCCAACACCAAAAAGTCTCCCCCTCTAATTTTGAACATCGCTGAAAGAGCGGGCGCTACTCGGAGGCTGCAACTTGAAAATGGCACTGGGATCCCCGCGTTCTACTCCCTGCGCTCCGTTCCAACCGACCCCGCCAACCCGACCGTCCCAACCAACCTGACCGCCCAAACTTTTCCAACCACCCGCTTGGCATTCCAAGCACACCAACCAAGTTCCTTTGTTATTGGAAGTTTGCTTTGGGCCCTGCTGAACGACCGCCATCTCCAAACAACCAGGAGGCCAAGTTGCTGAGAAGGTCTTGGACGCGTCCTCCCGCGCTGCACGGAGCCCGTTGGGGTCCATCCTGCCTGCGCTTTTCACACAACACACAAGGAACGGCGGCAACAACAGCAACAGCAGCAGCTGGAAGGCATACACATGGGCAAGATATCACCGCCACGACTCACAGGGCGACACAACGCGTTCGGAGAATGGAAGAAGTGCAAGATGGCAGCATATCTTGGGCTACGAGATGCATCATACAACAGACTGAGACAGTCAGAGCAATCACAACTGTCAGAATGACCCACTTGAGAAGGTAGCACCTCCAAAAAGCAGTAGCAGAACAATGGACGCAACTGAGCAACAACCTACACTACATCTTGGCGAGCACACGCAATGGACCAGCATCTACAATATGGACACAGAACACGCAAGGCAACAGCTTTGAAACGTGGCGGCTACTACACCTGAGACACCCCGCGCCACTTGGTACAAGAAGCATTGGGTACCTAACACGGTTGCTCCAACCACAGCCCGATGAACAGAAGTTCGAAGAGTTACGACATTTCAGTTTCAACTCGCCAGGTACGAACAAGACAACCACACATCACTACCAGACAGGAGACGCAAAACTGTTCAACGCGACAAAGGGACCACTAGAACAATGTCTACAGCAAGCAGGAAACATCACAACATATTCACAAACCGATCTCTGGTGATTATCACAGAGCAGCATAATCATCCAACATACTATAAGCACTCGCATCAGGAGCAACAACGAACAAGGACAAGCACCGATGGACATAGGAGCAACATGGTAACAAAGGCGATGGAAAGAAAACCAAGCACAAGGAACAAGGAAAAAAGAGCGGGTACGTGGACAACTACCACTACAACAACAGGAAAAGGCAAGCAACACAACCAACCAGCCGGAGAAGGAAATCCATTCAAAGGACAACAAGGATATGGCAAAGGCAAGGGGTGCAGCATCAAAAGAAAAAGCAAAGGATATTGCAACACTTGTCTAGGAGGAAACGGGGCAGAAGGAAAACGCGCAACCAACATTTGCTACAGATGGGGGCAGCCAGGACGCATGGCTAGACAATGCAGAGCGGCGATCCACAACTGCGACACTGGTAACTTCAACACAAATGACCAGACTGGTACAGTAAGGCACGCTATGACCAGGGCGAGACAGGTGCAGCAGCTGGCGCTGCCACAAACAGCAGGGCCAAAAGAACCACCCATCTGATTGCGAGGAGAACAATTGCCATGATTGGCGAGCTTACAGAATGGGTCAGTCTCATGATTCCACTACAGAACCTTCAGCATGGAACAAGGCCACAACTGAGAACAGTGACCAGCCAACGTGTCAAGCTTTACGGGCGCAGCTGGGGTTGAATGACAAACCACGGTGGACAACAGATTGTCACACCTTGCTACGTTTGTGGGGTTTCCAGCTTACACTGCACAACAACCCACAACAGCACAACAAAGGATTCAACAGAGCGCTGGAGAACAGAGATGGCCTGCTCTTCCTACAGGCAGACATCACAGCATTACCAAAAGGAACAAAGCTACAGAGCAACAAAGACCGCTTCGCACGATAGGGAAGCGACTTGTCAGAGTACACAGGCACAATACAGGAAGACACTCTTCACACCATCAAGAACACAGTGACAACCATCAGATTCAAGGATGGTACAACGAACACGTTTGACGACAAGTGTCAAACAACGACGTTCAAAGCAGAGTGTGGCAAGGAGAGAGTGTTCAGAATGAAGAAGGGCACGGCACTGCGAGAGACACTGCAGCCCCACGCTACAACAAAGACGCAGCGAAAGAGCGCGCCGCAGAAGATCACACCGCAAGTGATTCAGCGCAACCCACGCGCACGATCGAGAGAGAAAACAACAGCACCAACAGTTCAAGAGTCAGCGCCACCATACACCACCAAGGGTGCAGCTGGGCAAGGGCTTCCACATGCCTCGCAAGTACATGTTTGAGGGGGCTACTTGTGTAGAGAAGGTCCATGCTGGAAGAGAAGACACATTGAGCCACGCGCAGCGTTCTACACACTAGAGCAGACACAAAGGGCCAGACATCAAGCGGCTTGCACCTTGGACACAGAAAAAGGTACAACCTATACGCGGCGAGGACAACATATGACTGGTAGACTGGTAGAAGCTGAACGCACAACACAGCAAGCAAAGACATCAAACAAGCGTTGGACAGGCTGGACAAACTGCAAGGAACATCACGAGTTTCCTACACAATCTGAGTCAGATGATGAGGAAGGAACAAAAGCAAGGCACAAAAGCAAAGGTAGCACAAGCGCCCAAGCAACCAACACCACAAGAGCTACTAAGAAGGCGCGACGTGACACCTTCCTTACAGCAAGAGTTCGACAAAACAACCGCCCAAAGAAGCACAGCAAGCTTCCAATCACGCAGGTCGACTTCGGCTACATCAAAGGCTGTGATGACAGCAACCTACATCCAGCCCTCGCAGCAATTGACACCCGACCTGGGACGATCCCTCATTGACGTCACTCACCATACTACAGAAGAACAGAAAGACTTCCGGAAAGCATTGATCACAACAGTAGCCAGCAAGAGTGGCAGCATCACCAAGGAACTCAGGCGCATAGAGTTCACAGTCGCAAAGTTGAACGAACACAAACAACACTGTTTGCGCAAGTCAGAGCACTCACGGCACCAATTTCGCATAAGTAAAACAGGGGCATCCCACGGCAACATCCACTGATGCCCTGGATCATTGAACCCACAAGCTACTTCAACAGGTGGAACAGAGAGCGACACACACCACTTTGCGAGTTTGGTGAGACAGCGCAGTACATGACACCAACAGTGAAACAATCTCCAAAACTCGAGCCAAGGTTCGTTAATGGGATCTGGCTTGGCAAGGATACAACCACAGGCGAACCCATCATTGGGATCTGCAAGGGGGTTGTCAGAGCAAGGACAATCCGAAGGCAAAATGCCTCGCAAACACAATCAACAACTACTAGACTGTGTAGTCACAGTTCCTGGAAGACACCATCATCAGCACTGCCTGCACCGACTCTCAAAACACCAGTGGCAATACCCGCACACACGCAAAGCATCTGAAGGACGCAGCAACAAGCGCAGCAGCAGAACACGAGACAAAACACAGCACAACAGAGCGAATAGCAAGCGAAGCAGAAGAAGACAGCTGAGCCAACATCACCAATGACTACATCACCCACACATCAGAAGAGACCAGCATTGCCAGCACCACCGCCTACATCACCGACAAGAGAAAGAGGCAATTAATAGCAGAAGGCAGCACAGCCAAGCAACAACGCGCCACATCAGAAAGACAAGCGCTGGACCGACCTACAACAGCAGAACAACCAAAAGGCAAAATGAGAAACCAGTGCCATCAAATTCACATCGTATGGAAACAACGCCCAGCGAGAAATACAAACCAGGAAATACAAGAGATTGAAAATGAAAGGATCTTGCTAGAGCCGGTCACACATGACACAGAAGGCTTGGTTGTGTCGCAAGGCACGAAGAAAGAAGTACAGCAAATGAATGACCGAGGGATTGGTGGCAACACAATGAAACCTAAAAAGCAAGCAATCGTTGAACCAAAGTGGGTTCTCAATCAAAAAACACACTGAAGTACGAGCACGGATTGCGGCAAAAGGCCACACAGAACCCGTCACCGATCATGACCCACTCTTTGCCAGTGCACCCTTGATCCGCACACTGAGAGCGCATTGTCACACAACTGGTTGGTCTGCGCAGGAGATGTCAGTGTTGCGCTCCTACACGCAGCAGCAACCTTATACAAGTTGGTAGGGCTGTGGGGTCACTTGCGACCCACCCATCCGGTCACTTGCGACTCTAGGTCACTTTCCTTGCAACCCGAAATCACTTGTGACAAGTGGGGGTGGATGTGGGGGTGGGTGGGGGTGGGCCCCAGCACTGCATCCGTGGGGTGGTGTGGGGTGGGGTGGTGGGGGTGGGGGTGGGGGTGGGGCACACCCGCTTGCCCAGCCCTGCATCCACGCCTACCACCCAATAAGCACACCCGCTCACGCGCACCCGCCTAGCACTGTGGCGGGGGTGGGGTGGGGTGGCGCGGGGTGGGGCACACCCGCTCACGCGCCCCCAAGCGCTGCATCCACGCCCTCACATGCGCCCGCGCCACGCACGCGCAACAGCCGGGGTGGGGTATTGGGGGGGGGGGGTGGGGTGAGACATGGGGTGGGGGTTGGGGCGGGGTGGGTGTCTGGGTGCCTGGGTGCCAAGTGCGCCGGTGCGTGCGTCAAAAGCGTGAAACTACGGCAGGTCACAAGCGACCAAAAACACAGGTCACAAGCGACCAAAAACACAAGTCACAAGCGACCAAAAAAACAGGTCACAAGCGACCAAAAAAACAGGTCACAAGCGACCCCTCGACCAGTTGGTAGTGGGACCGCCGCAAGAACTTTACAACAAACCAAACAGACCAAACAAACACATCATGCGGCGGCTGAAAAAAATATACGGCGCACGGCCTTCACCAAAACAATGGCAAGACCACATAGCACACATTCTCAGAGTCACACTTGCGCTTGTGACACGCACAACAGAAGGCAATGTCTTCAGAGAAAAAGACCTATGCAGACGATCTCCGACTCGAAGGAAAGCAAAGCAATTCAGCAGAAAAAAGGAAGAAGTCTTGCTGAGACACGCGGGCAACCTCAACGTAGGAACAACCATACATCTCCTTGGCAGGAACACTTGCACAAAGCCAGCTACATCGACACCAGTTTGGAAAACAACTACGTTGGCACCGTCCTGGAAGACTCGGGCATGACTACACGCGACCCAGCACCATCACCAGTGTCACATGAAAGGTGCAGCAGAAGACAAGCACCGCTTGACCACCAACACAGGCAGTTGGCAAGACGCAATGACAGCATACACAGGGCCAGACATCAGCCATGGAGAGAAGGACCTAGCAGGATTACTACAAGCGCCAAACAGATTGACAACAAGAAACTCAAGCACATGGTAAGGTACCTCGAGGGCACAAGGCGCATGAGACACAACTCGCGACCCAAGATACAGCTACAGGACAAGCAAACCCCACTCAACATCGACACATACACAGATGCCAACTGGGCCTCGTTTTGGTTGGTTTGCTGGCTTTGTTCCTTTTGCTGGTTGCCCGGGCGCGCATGTTCGTCACATGGAGGTCGTGCGTTATGCAAGGGTTAAAAAACACAGATGCCAACTGGGCATCGTGGGCAGCAACACACTGTGGAAACATAATTCAAGCAACAAGAGCACTTTCACCAGCAGAATCAGAACTGCTGTACGCAATCGGTTCAGCAGCACAAGAGAGCCTCTACACCAGCAACTTCATCAAGGAAGCATTCGGCACCAACAAACGGATACACGCAGACGGCGGCGCAGCCAAGTCAATTTCAATGAGAGAAGGTACATCCAAGCAGGCAAAACACATTGAGCTGCGACACCCCTTCACACAACAACTTGTCTATCCAAAACCATGGCAACGCACAAAGTAAAACCAAAAAGGAAACCCAACTGACAGACAAAGTTTGTCGGCTGTGGCGCACGCAACAAGCACATGTACACAGTTGACCTGCGCTGCGACTGCAACCAGTTTCAAACTGTGCGCGGGATGTTAAATAAGAGTTGCGCAGTACACGCGCTTGTTTCACAACTACATGTCAGCCAGGCGTGGATACATTTTTGGGTAGGTACATAGCCATGGGTCAACCCCGTTTTGCGACACCGCTTTCTTGAACACAGTTTGCGTGAGATCTTGGCTACATGACAAACGCTTGCAGCCTTTTCTGCATACATGAATTTGGTCTGAAGGTTGCATTGCCGTTGACACATCCAGAAATGGACATGCAGCAATTACGCTTCTGCCAGTGTTCAAGGAGACATGCATGCCGGAGAGACACAACGACAGGATGACTATATACATCGCTCTCAGACATCGGCGTTGTACGGGCGCGCAGCGTCAAGAATATATCCTTGCTTTGACATCCCGTTCGAAAGTGAACACATTCAACCGCGGACACATGTTGCAGCAAGTACAGATTAACTCCAACGCAACATAGCCCCTGAGCACAACGGAACGCGACACCATCATGGCCTGGCGCGCTACACACAGAACATGCACTTTCGACATCTACAACTTGTACACTTGGGACTTGGGCAATCTCCGCGCCTTCAACACGGCGCCCGAGAACGCACAGGAAAAGGACACGTTTTTTGAGGCCCAGCGCAGGCACTGGGCTACACTGGCTTGACAGCTCTTGACTTTTGACTACATGAGCCGTATGTGGTTTCGATTACAAACTTGCTACAAGCTCGGTGAAACCTTTGGAACAAATGAAAGGAGACTGCGAACACGCAGCTTCCCTCGAATCGAAGAACAACGCGATCTTCCCTGAGTCCATCAAAAAGATCAATGCGTACAGGAAGGGGCTGACTACATCGGGCTCATCCTCTACAGACATTCTGGAAGACAAGAAGCACATGAGGACTGAGTAGACAACGATCTACATGGTCAACAATTTTGTGTCTCCGGACATTTGCCGTACATTTGGGCCAACAAAAACAGACAGAGTTGTGAAGCACATCTGCAGCACCTGTCAACAGTTCACATGCAATTTCGACTTACATCACCCCAACCAGCACGTTTGCACATCAGGTACTCAGGTCACACAGTTGCTACATAAAAATAGAGATGTACGTATCCCAATACACACATGAGCACAGTCATATACGAACATACACACACACACAAAAATTAAAAAAAAAAACACACACACACACACACGCGGAGACAAACTCAAGCACGCAAACGCACACACGAGAAAGAGAGAGAGAGGGAGAGAACAAATAGCGCCCAGCCACAAGCACACCAACAGCTTGCTTGCCCTCTGTGTGATGACTGATTCCTTTTGCCACACAGTTGCTGCTTGCCAACACCATCGCCTGTCTTCATATTCGGCTTCACCTTGATGTCTTCAAACCTCATGTCTCCGCACGTTACCAACATGGGCAAAACTTGGCCGATGTGGAAGATGTTCCGTGGCGCCAACCGCCTTCTCCGCAACTTGATTGAATCAGCGTGTAATTTCCAAGCAGCATGTGATCAACCTTCTCTGGCGGCAAAGAAGCCAACTGGCTGGCTTTCCTCAGACCGTTGTGTTTGAGCTGGCATTCTTTTCGTGCGTTTGCTCACTATGCGTCATATGCAACCTTGGAACATGACCGTTGCACCCGGGACGTGGGACAAGCTGCCGAATAACTGATTGACAAAATCAGCAACTCAAATTCGTCCTACAAAACAGTTCACTTGCTACGGCGACAAGCTTGCCCCGCTGGATCTCCCGCACCATTGCCAACCAAGCGTCTGAAACACAATGGTGGAGGAGTTAATGATAAGCGTGTGCCCAGCAATAGCCGAGTCGAGCTCCGCGATCATGCTGCTAAGCAGCGGAATGTCCTGAAACATGAAGAAAAACAGGGACTACTGGACAAGCGCGTCTCATGAACAGCTGATTCCTTAAAAGCCCTTATCCCGCTTGATTGCGAGAAGGACGAGCAGCCATGCCATCCCCGTAGGCACGGTGACCGCGAGTTCTGCCTCCTTGGTGGCTTTTCTGCAGGTTCCCTCCAGCGCGCCGATGGCCAAAGTTACGCCACTATGTTGAGCAGCTGAAGGGACCAGCAATGTGCGCAATCTCTGGTGGCACACGCCCGCAGTGGCACGCGCCATCCTTGTAAAGGCGTAAGCCGACCCAAAAGGAGAAGACTGGGCCGTCTAAGTTTTTGACAGTTAAGCTTGGGATTAGGTTTCAGCATCGGGCGGTCGCCAAAGCTAAGGCCCGCGCCAAGCCCGCCTGTGAATGCCACCTGCTTGCGCTCATGAATCTCACCTAGCCCAACATGCTATGGCTTGTTGTGCAACCTATATCGTCGGTCTTGCGCTATGTCTCACTATGCCCCGTCACACTCGCAATGAAAGCTTCAAAGGGCGAGAAGCGTCTCTGCAGGCAAGTCGCTCTCCAAGTCCTCTACTCCTCAACGGTAGCACACTTGAGGGAAGCTCTAGACAAAGGTTTGTGCGCCGGACATGTCTTTCACGACTTTTTGAACAGCTGGAACAAGTACTGCGCAGACTTGCTATCAGCAAAAGATGGCTTTGAGTTGTTGGCAAAACCAATTTTCAACAAGTGGCCCGTCGACCACCCTACTTTCAATGCCAAGCAGCGGTCTTGCAGGAAGAACACCTTGCGTGCTCGGAGAGCATAAGTTGCTCAAGCAACTATACCGTTCATCTGTTCAAACAACGCTAAACGTCTTGGTGGTGCGCCAAGATCCATTGCCCTACACAAGCTAGTTCGCCGTCTTACTGCGCACCACACCAAGGCTCCGATAAGACAGAAAACGGGACGTCTTAACTTTAAGACTTAGTTTAGGATTAAGTCTTAACTGCGGGGTCATTTTTAACTTGCCCTGTGACCTTCAAAAACTGAAAATCCGATGCCACACGCAGATCATCATCCAAGAGCCCTAGCACAGAACCCTCAGCGACGCAATCATATGCGGAAACCGAACTTCTGTCACGACTTCGATTTGCCGACTCTCAACAAGACTCTCAGCAATCCACGTCATACCGTCATGTTTCCGCACTTTCTGAAGATCAGTGAGGGTAGGAGCAGCCTGCAGCCGTGGAAACTTTCGCTTATTCCCTTCAAAGCACCCACAAAACAAAACCTTCACAGACAGGAGTTTTGAGGAAGGCATTGCAGAAGAGACTGTGCGCAGGCAAAAAACCAAGTCAAAATACTTCTCAAGGCGCTCATCGGGGAGCTTTAGCAACTTGCCTCTATCGACAAAGCACGGCCCTACCTGGCACAGCAGCTCCTTCGAGTGGGCCGCGTTCACTGGCTTATCGTTGAACTTTCCGAAGATTATTGATTTGGTTGAGCACGGAGATCTGGCGCGGGAGGGCCAAGGAACACGGCAAGTGAGGCCTATACGCAAGAGTGGCTTAGAAGTGAGCTACTGCAAGCCTTGCCCAAAGGCTGCTTCAACATGCCCCGTCACCCAGGCCCTCGCCGTCGGCACCGTTGGGCCCCGAGGCCCTGGAGGACGCCGCCCCCAGCGAAAAGGGCTCCGGAGTTTCCGGGAACAACGCGCAAGAAAACCTTCCTGGGCAAGGTGAAGGCGAGCGAGCTCGACAGCCACCGTTTGCGGCGGGGAGCCGCACTTCCGAGACTTCGGCGGACGGCGCGGCATCTCCAACGAGCTGCGCTTGCCTGCGGTCTTCTTGACATTGATGTCCTGCCCGTGTTTGCAAGCAACCGAAAAAGCACGCGTCCTGCGTGCCTTGAAGACGTAGAACTCGACGCCGTGCTGGTTGCCTGCTCTGTCTGACTTGCGCAACAAGGATGCGTGTCCCCCGCCCAGAGGAGTGTGTAGTCGATGTCGCCGTCTCGGAGCTGAATCTCCCCGCTGCCTCTTTGAACATGTTGTCCCCGAAAGACAAGAAAACCCCGCCACGGCCATCGCGCTCGAAAGCGCAGTTGACGATTGCGGTTTTCTCGGCCCGGCCGTGCGGGAGCTGTTCGAGCGCAAGTCTTTGCCTTTTTGCGGATGGTGATGCTGAACCCTTGTGCAACGGCGGCGCTACGAACATAATTTCAAAAAGCTTGACCAAGCGCTGGATAGGGTGCGGGGGGGCGAAGCTTAATAAGAGAGGACCCTTACGCCGCTCTCAAACATTTGCCTGATCGCCTCCAGCACTAAGCCGATCTTTTGGCTGAAGAAGCGACTCTTGCTAGGGCCACACAACACGAGCTGCAAGTGCAACTGCGCAATGAGATTGTCATCACTGGCGAGGCTTCTCAATTGATTGGGTCGCAACTTCGACTGACCTCCTGCAAGTCGTGGCGCTGGCCGAAGATAGCCCGGCGGCCCCTTCAAACAAGCGCCAACTAACTGGACTACCTGGCTCCCAGAACGCTGTGTGCGAACGACAGCTTTGAAGGATCCGTGCTTTCCAGTTGTAAGCCCCGAAGCTGTGCAAGTCACAGTGCGTAGCCAAGCGTTGCACAAACCCGGGGCCAAGATGCACATGACGGCTGCAGGCGGCGCAGCGGCTTTGGCGATGGCCTCGGCCACTGTAGTTTCTGCGCCGTTGGCGTTGGCGCCTCCCCAGCTGCTGCTGATGCAATCGCCATGTCAGAAGCCAGACTGTAGGCAACAAAGTGTTGGCCAGCACAGGGCTGCGCTCCCAGACAAGGCAGGCAAACTACTAACAAGTAGGGCTGACAGGCGTGCTCAGCTTTCTTTTTGAGGGCTCACCAGCGCAGTGCGCCACGCTGCATCTCAGCGCCTTTTCTAAGGCTTTCGCCAGCTTCAGAAAGGGTTGGAAAGAGCCAAAGCATGCTCCCAACAAGCCTCAAGTAGCTTTGTCAAGCAGCTCTCTCTGCAAGCTCCTCACAACAAAGTTTCCCACAAACAGTTCTGTCAAGGACTCTTTGAGCAAGGTCCTCTCAACAAGGTCCCCTCACCTAGATCTGTCAACAAACACCCCCGCAAGGTCCTCTCAACAATGTTTCCTCCACTAGTTCTGTCAACAAACATTGTCAACAAGATCCTCCCAACAAGGCTCCTTCAACTAGTTCTGTCACTGTCAACCAAATTCTCAGCAAGACTCTAGGCGAGACTGTCAACCAGAGACTTCTCAACACAACGCTGAGCAAAAGTTGCCAGCGAGACTCTCAGCGGCCAGCACTCACAGCCAATATTCGCCAAACAAGCAACGCAACGCCGAACGAAACTGGAAACCTGTGCTCTCAGCAAGGCTCGTCCGCAAACAACTTCCTGCTGTCGGCGAGACTCTCAGCAAATCCTCAGCAGGAAACATCACAACGCAACGCTGGACGACACTGTGAGGCGAGAAGCCAGTAAGCACGGCAAGACTCTCAGCAAGAGTGTCAGAAAAAAACCAACACACCGCCGAGCGAAAGTGTGAGCGAGACTCTTTGGAACATTTTCTCTCATCAAGACTCTCAGCAAACTCAAAACATTCCAAGTCATTGACATCTGTAGCGAAGGTGGCTTGGCATTGCGGGGCCCTACTGTCAAGAGCCGCTCGACGCAAACACAGTCGCGTTGCGTGCGCGCACTCGCGCGCCAGCACGCGAAAAAAGTTATTTTGCCCAGTTTAAACTCATTGTTTCAAGTAGATGTTGTGCATTTTAAGTGTTTGTAATTTGAAAAAGTTAACTTTGTAACTTGTTGTTCTAACTTTCAGACTTAATTTACGATTAGATCATAAAGTCTTTCCGGAGCCTTGGGTCGCTGATGAAATTACACTGGTCTGCCCAACACCTCCCCCCCTCAACCTTGACTTCTGCTTCGGCTTCAGCCACCAAAGACTGCAACCTGCTTTCAGATTAATATTCGGGCTGGGGGACCCCCAATATCATTCCTCTAGTCTTCCCCATCATCAAAGGGAAACTGGAACCAGTAATGGAATCTTTAAGGGCGCCTCCCCAAACTTTCATTTTTAAGGGGGTGGGGATCTGTTGGCCCTTTGGCTGTCTTGGCCCTTTGGCAACATCTGTATCTTTCCACGTCAACTCAGCGGGCTGCATACTGCTACTCAAGCGCCCGTGAAACACAATGTCAGCCATGCAAAAATAAGCTAGGAGTTAACATAATCTGCCTGCTTCATGTCCAACAAACGTCCATCCACCTGCTGCGCGTCTGTGGCCCACTTCGATATGACAAAGCAAAGCTGGCAAACGACCCGGCGCTGCGCGTGGTGCCTTCTTCCTTGCCAGAACAGTTTTGCGCTAAACAAGGCAGCGTGCTCCGGAATACTCAACTGTGAGCGAAAAATACACTTCCCTGTTCCTAGCCCCCTGAAACGTCACGGTAGCTCTGCCTGCCAAAGAGCACGGGCTTGCTGGATAGACGACACCTCGATACCGCGGCGCCTCTGCAACAAGCGGTTCACCTGGCATGTGTTGTCTCTGGAGGCAGCTTGAAACTGCAAGGGTGGGTCTTCAACTTCTGTTCCACCCCCGCATAAAGCGAAGTTGCACGCACCACCAGCCTGCCTCTGGCAAACGCTCAGTTGTAGAACTCTCCGGAAATGAACTTGGCCCACCACGCGCGTGGCTCTGCAATCGTCTCTTTCCGGGCTCAAGGCCCAACTTGTCATCCACACTGTCAAGGCAAATCATTGATGGAAGAGTTTCTGAACTTTGTAGGACATCAAGCTGTAGCACACTCTAGCCCCGTCCGCACAACTGACAAACCTTGCCCATGTGCTGCCAAGCTGCTTCACAGAGTTCACTGCTTCCTGTGCCGAGGGCGAAGGCGTAAGTCGGACATAGCCTTTCACCCGAACATGTTCTTTGCGCAGTATGTATAACTCGCGGAACCAAAGCCCAATCGCAATTCGCATTTTCTCCAGGAACGAATCTGTCTGGATCAGCGGTTGCCATGGCGCGTGGCGCGCTATGTCCAACTCCATGGGCGTAACGCCCAAGCTCCTTCTACTTGCCGCGCCAGACTTACAAGCTGTCAAGCGGCGCCGCAGCCACGTACCCCATTATTCAGAACGCAGGCAGTGTGGCAAGCAACACGCTGACGTGCGCAAATGTGCAGATGCCGGTGTCGGTAGAACAATTTTTCCATTCCCAAAGTGCACTTTGGCAGCTCCGGCACACCCCTTTCAACGCAGGGTTTTCAAAAACGTCATGAGGAGGGCGACTTTGCTGAGGTAGAGGAAACGTGTAAGGCTGGATGGGAGCGCACGCAAGGCCAATGGGAGGGGAGGCGTTTCCTGCGGCACGTGAAAAGCAGAAAGCACTAACAGAACAGTACGCGCAGCTGGGTGTGTGTGTGTGACTGTAAAACACCCCCAAGTTGGCAGGCCTCCCCTCTCAGCGTTTTCCATGGTTTTGAGATGCGTTCGACAAAATTGTACCCCCCTGACTAAAGTGGTCTTCATGCACTTTGTCCGTGACTCATATGGAAGACAAAGACTTCTGCCACAAGCCTGAAAAACGGTTGCTCCTGGCCGGCTTGGTGTTTCCCAAAAATGCAAATGAGCTATTTTTTGGAGGTCGTCTTCGTTTTACAAACTTGACCTAGTTGGCAGCGCTGAAGTCGCCTGGGTTTTACAGGGGCTTAGTCCAAGTCCACAGAAGACACTCCTTGCGGCAAAGTATTCTCAAATGGACACCGGGACCTGGCAGCACTGCCCCTCTCTTCAAAGACAAAGAGCCAGAAGTTTCCCGTCCGCCGTAACCTGAGATAAAGTGAGGCTTGCACGGCTGGCCTTGGAATGCCTTCAATAGCCTTCAACATTGAGCCTCCACCGATCGACTATTCCTGTCACCACTGTTATCTTACGCATTCACCTTAGGACGTCAGCAATTTCTCCTCCACCTATCCTCAGTTTATCTGCGTCGTTCTTCCCGCCGGGCCCCAACCCTTCAGACCACAGCTCAGGTTTATGCTGAGGCACGTTGCCAAAAACCAAAGTTTGCCAAAGTCGCGATCGCTTGACTCAGCGCCGGACATAATTGGAGAGCGCCATGCCAAAGAACTCCTGGCCACACTTGAGAAGTTCTTGCCGCGTGGCACCGCCCAGGGCCAACTTGTCCAGGCGTCGCAGTCCTTGCAAGGCCCAAGCTGCGAAGACCAGGCTAACTTCAAGGCGGGCTATTGAAACAACCAGCAATGTCAAACAACACCAGCTGTCTTGGGATGCCCTTTCCATCCAAGGCCTGCCACGCCCCAGTATGTTTTTGCGTGCAAGGTGCGTGGCATGCACAACACTGCCAGCATGATGTACTCTGGAAAAAGACCTGAGCGTCTTCAAGCCAGGGAGAAACGGCGAACACGTTGTCGCTAGCCCTTTATTGGTGATGAGGCTCCTGGAAAAACACAAGCCCAATCGGGATGTGGATTGGGTCTGGAGCTTAGGGCGAACCTCTGCCAAACCGTTCATGAGGGCCAAACCAAGATTCTGCATGTCGCACACACTTCATTGTTTTGTCACGCTCCAACTTTGAGGCTGCTTCAAGCCGGTTGACACATGCTTGATTACTACGCACGCTCCGGCTCAAACTGCTTGGAAAGCGCGGCCAGATTCACTTTGTGTGTGTGGTGGACCGGCCGCATCTTTGGAGAGTAACCCCGCGCAACACCAGTTCGATGTGGCAAGCGTTCCCAAAGACTGAGAGAGGGAAAGCCTCGACACTGACGTTTGCTCAACGGGGAATGTGAGTTTGGACCTTGTAAGAAATTAGCCTAGCTGATTGCCTACCATCACTTCTGCGTAGTGGCGGCTACGTCACCTTTGTGATGTCAGGATGCGAGCCACAGCGCTCTAGGACTTTCAGCGCCGTTCTTTGGGGGCGCCGGAAGCAGCTTTTTTGAGGTCTGCGAGGCGATGAGACTTGTCGCAGCCCAGTGAGTTTACGCTCTTACCTTGCTTGAGGATCTGACTCAGCGCACCCTGTTGCAGCCTTAGCACTCGGCTTGCGCAGTCGCCCTTGCCAATTCTGCCTGTCGCCTGCCACGCTCAACATGGCTTACGGCTTCCTGTCGCCCTAGCTACTATTTGACACGCTTGGCCTGCCCCTTTTTCAACATTGGCTCTGCCCTGGCAAGCCTTGGTTGAATTGACAGCGGACATGAAGAAAACACTTGCTCGTGCCTTGTTGGCATCTGGAAGAACAACAGGACTTTGCAGATACCAATGCCCGAGCTGCACGCGACAGAGCCATCTTAGTCCTTTCCTCCATACCTTTGAGAGGCGGCTCCGCCAATGAGCTGGGACAAGTCTTCGCAAGGCGGTTGGAACACTTGCTCGAAAGGTGTAACTTTTTCTCCGGGGTAGCGAACTAACAGGGCGCTTGCCTGCGCGTGGCTTTCGATTCACATCTCGGACATTGCGTGTTGCGCTGCGCCAGTAGTAATAGTAGTAGTAGTAGTAGTAGTAGTAGTAGTAGAGGTAGTAGTAGTAGTAGTAGTAGTAGTAGTAGTAATAAAAGTACTCGTAGGACGTAGCAGTAGTAGTAGTAGTAGTAGTAGTAGGAGTCATTGTAGTAGTACTAGTAGTACTAGTAGTGGTAGAAGTAGCAGCAGCAGCAGCAGCAGCAGCAGCAGCAGCAGCAGCAGTAGTAGTAGTAGTAGTAGTAGTAGTAGTAGTAGTAGTAGTAGTACGCATAGTAGTAGTAGAAGTCGTAGTAGTAGTAGCCATAGTAGTAGTAGTCGCAGAACTATAGTAGCTACCAGTCGTAGCAGTAGTAGTAGCAGTAGCAGTGGCAGTAGCAGTTGTCATAGTAGTAGTAGTAGTACTCGGCTGCGTTACTAGCACTACCAATAGGGCCGGCGAAGCCAGTTGGCGGAAGTTTGTAACGATATAGCAACCCTAGTTCTCTTTCTCTTCCTATTCTCAATTCTTGATTATCTTCCTCTTCTTCCTTCCTTCCTTCATTCCGTTGTTCGCTGTTGCGCTGTTTCGCTGGCTCGCCACGCTGACTACGCTGGATTGCGCTGGTTTACGCTGAGTACGTTGGTCTACTCTGATTACGCTGGTTACGCTGAGTATGCTGGCTACGCTGAGTACGCTGGCTTACTTGAGTACGCTGGTCTACGCTGAACCGGCTGGTTACCCTGGCTTACGCTGCTGACGTTGGCTACACTGAGTACTCTGGTTTGTGCTGATTGTCCTGGTTTACGCTGGGTTACGCTAATTGCACTGGTTTATGCTGATTACGTCGCTTTACGCTGATTATCCTGGTTTAATGCTGGTTTACGCGGGCCACGCTGGTTGCGCTGTTGACGCTGTTTACGCTGGCTACGCCAACTGCGCCGGCCGCGCTGGTTGCGCTGGCTGAGTTGCATGTACCCAGTTGCGCCGGCTGAGCTACATGCGCCCAGTGATCGGGGGCTGCTTTTGTGAGGCGTTGTGCGGCACTGGTTTGCAGGCCTTGCCAAGCAGCGCAGCCCCAGCGACATTTTCTGCTTTTCAGATTGCCACACCAGTGCAAGAGCAGGTGAGGTTGACTGGCATGCTGAAAAGCGCAGGCCCACAGACCCAATGCTTTCCCAGCAGAGTCGTTTTCGGAAGCCGGCGCGTGTTTCAGTGCTTGGGAACCTCAGGCGCAACACCCACCAGTGTCCGCTGGCAAAAGCGCAGGTCTAGCACACTTTTTCCGAGGAGCTTTGAAGCAGCAGGGGGTCACGCTCGTTTGTGTAAATACTACGGCAAAGCGAAAGCCCGTCAACTAAGATGGTAGGACAGGCCTAAGCGTCCGCGCTAGGGAAGGCCGAAATATAATGATGCAGGGCGGGCCGGATAAAAGAATACAGGCCGGAACAACATCCTGGGCCTGACGATTTGATTGGAGCCCTCCGAAAAACTTTGAGATGCATCAGTGCCATGCGAGAAGCGCGAATAACTTGGCACAGTCCCTCAGAACAGAACCGATTGCTTTTTGCGCGCCGCCGTCGGAAGGTCTACCTGGTGAAGGGCCAAGGGCACCTGCCCTTCGGGCCTGCCTGCGCGGCCCGTGTCAATAAACCTGAGGGCTTCTACCCAAAATCCGCTCCTCTCTCGTTGTCGCCCGCCACAGCCACTGGCTCGAAAACCGGAACTGAGCTAAACAAATCCCAGGGTTGCTTATCTGCCCGAAAAAGAATGAAAAGCCCGCGACACGCCTAAAGTAGGACCGTTGTGCGCAAGCACCTGTGCGGCGCGTGACGCCGGCAACGCGCGGCGAAAAGGACGATCTTCATACGCCCTCCCGATCCGTGGTTCAGCCCGAGGTAAAACAAACATGCCTACCTTAAGACGAGGAATTTGGACGACAAGGTATGCTGGCGGCAGAGTATGTTCGGATGATAACGGATCCTTTCATGGCCTCGAAATCTTGTGCGCCAGCTGTGCGCAGGTGTTCGCTTGCTCGACATTCACCTTCATGGCCCACAGCACTTCCTCTGGTGTCACCACTCTTGTCAAAAGGCGCTTTTCAAGCGGTAGCACAGCTCGAACTTCTTCTTCGGCCGTCGCTTGGGTCGCTTTGGCCGACGCTGAGTCACACCAGACTGGCGCTTCTGAGCAAGAGACCTGCGCTCAGGAAATCAAATGCGCCACACCCCTTCTCAGGGCTGGTTTTCTCATGGCCACAGACTCCGCATCAAGCGCCCAGTCTGCCATGCTGCAACACAGCAAGGAACTCGCTGCAAGCATGTGGGTGTGGTGGTGGTCTCATCGCCTGTCACCCGTCTCCGTTGAGCCCGCCGCCCCTGTCGCCTGGTCAGCTCCCAAGCGTGAGGCTACACCCCGGCTTGAGCAGCCTGGGGGAATATTGGCTTGCCATCTGTCTGACACCGCCTTTGTGCGAGTCTCCTGAGTGTGCCACATTCGGCTCCTTTGGCCCTGTCCCCACTAGCGCGCGGGTTCTCCCAGCAGGCCACGTTAGACGTCGCACGCCTTTGTTGACAGCTTTGTGAAGCAGGCGATGCTTCGCCTTTGTGGGGTCAGGCTCCTGCGCCGACGCAGCCAGCCTTGCGCAATGGGCTTGAAGAAGCCTGCAACCTGCAAGCTGGGCGCCGAGGCCGTGACGCCGCGCAAGACACTGCAGCAAGACGTCACGCTACACAACAGCCCAACTGCCACTACTTTTCTTCCCGGAATACGTGGTGAGCTAGGCTCAGAATTCATGTGAAGCCCTTGCATGCAACGTGGCTGCGCTGTGAGCAGAGACACAGCAGAGCAAGCAATCTCACATGGTGCTGCTCTGCACGAGCAGCGACGCAGAGCAGGCAACCTCGAAGCCGAAAGCCGATCCAGCGGCAAGCCAGCGCTCAGGAACAATTAACACGGCACAGAACGCGCCTCAGGCCGATAACCTTCGAAAGCAAGCGCAGCCAAACGGAAGGCAAGAGCGGAATGCCCGTTTCAGCCTGTCCGCCCCACCTCATCCTCTGATCCCACGCAGAAGCAGCTGCCACGTCACATGTTTGCCATGGCTACAGCGTGGCCAGCCAGTCAGTTGCTGCACCGCATTTCGCTGCGGATGTTGTTTTTTAGCCCGATTAGGCATGGAGCGGCGAGCGAGGCTCCGACCGCGCAACGTGCGTCTTATGACGCTCAGCTATCAGCAGCGGCCGCAGTCACACGCTTGCGCAGTGTGAGTGACGCAAAACTGCTGCCCGTCTCCGCTTGGGCGCCCAGGCTACCCACCAAAACCTCTTTGCAAGCTTGCGGGAGCTACTGGCTAGAGAAGGGGCGGGCATCAAAGCGTGCGAGGTACTCCGCGAATCCTGCACCAGCAAATCCAGCACCGCGCCTCTCACAAAGCTTCCACCGTGGCCGTTTTTACCAAGCTGAACCGGCAGATGCAACATACACCCCGTTGAAAACCCTTCTTCTTCGTATCATTCCTGCGCATGTCACTCTAACGGCATGCGCCTCTTTTCCCTTCTTCAACTTACTGCGGTGCTGTCACTGCAACCCTGCCCTAGGGATATTGCTTTGGGATGTCTGTCAGGCATCGCCTCCTGACAGACGGATGCCCCTGGCAGCTCAGTCATAGACTCCTCATGGACCACAGGTCCAGGAATCACCCAACGCACTACCCTAAAGCACTTCACAAATACTGCATGACAAGCACCAAGGCGTGCAGCGGCAACCGCCACAGTTCAAACGGGAAAGCGACTGTCATGGAAAAATCATGCCATGGATCGGCCCGGCCCAGCCGGCCGATGGCATCCGCCCAGTTACTCTTGCAGGGGACCCACTCCAGTAAAACCACGAGCCCAGGGCAAGGCTTCAACCCGCTCCCGCAAAGAC